CAATTGCCAAAGTTAGTCGTTCAGCTGCTCATTCCCGCGCCTTCTCAAAAAACAAATCCTGCGTAGCCCTGCGCCGAACGTTTACAGTTGGCGAAGCTGAATATAACGTGCCTCTGTACTAATGCGCACTGTAAATTTAACCTTTTTGACAGCACAAGGTCTCAAAACTAGTTCAAGTCTAACGTAGTAGGACAAAAAGAAATGAATGGCATGAAAATAGCGACTGTTCTAAGGGGCATTGCATGGATAGTATTAGGGGGCGGTGACGTGTGACTTCAACGTGGGTTATTGTTGATATATATATATATATATATATATATATATATACGGGATATGGCACAACGGGAGCGTTGTCAACAAGGATAAATATATTTATTTCCCAACAGTTTCGGGAGCGGCGCTTCCTTCATCAGGGAATGAGTTATCAGGGGAAGGCCTGGATGTTGATATATAAATATATTATATATATATATATATATATATATATAATATATATATATATATATATATATATATAATATATATATATATATATATATATCAACATCCAGAGCCTTCCCGCCCTGGAAGTCAGCTTTACTTTCCAATCGCCTTTTGTGCCTTCACAATCTTTGCCTTGAAATCTGCTCCCTCTCTCCCACATAAGGAAAGAGTCACTATGATTTCGGTGAAAACGTAACACGTGGTCTTTCTTCCCTTTTTGTAACTGACCACAGAAGAGGCCGAATCAGGCACTCTCCCTGCCGAGTCCCTCGTCTTGCTACAGGTAATTGCCTGCCATCTAAGCTCACCCACAATGTCCTTCCGTGACGTTCAAAGACGCGTCGCGGAAGCCACCCTATCCCCCTCTTCCTTTCTCCTCCTACCCCCTGTTTCGTTTTTTCCCCTTTTCTCCTTTTTTGGTTCTTTTTGGTTTGTTCCAGCGAATGAGACGAAGAAGAAACTGCTCAGCACAGCATGTGTCACCACTGTAAAACACCACGAATTGCGCTCTCTCCCGTTTCCTTCTTGGCCCACCATGTCGATGCGGCATGTTCGCATAGCGTCGCACTTGTTCGCAAACCCTGACGAAGACCAGTCCACCGGTCGAAACCGTTGGTAAACAAAATTAAGACAACCGCTAAGTTGTGTGTCCCTCTTTATATATATATGTATATATATATGTGTGTGTGTGTTTGTGTTTACTGTGTACATATAATATGAAAGTTATATTTTTCAAAACACAATGCACCAATGCCTGCCTACACTTTTGACAATACAAGAGCTACACCAATAATACTAAACAACGACATAAATTTTCTCACACGCAATGGCGTTACGCCAATGAAATTTTAGGAAAGCAGCACAATTTAAACTGTCGATACAAAATGAGAACTGGTTACAGTGAATTTACGCAGAGTAACAGACAGGCTATGTATACAACTGGCACTCTTTAATATGTTCAAGATAACCCATATCGCGTAGAATGCTTCAATAGGAGGTACAGGCATAGTTTCAGCTCGGATTTCTGGCTCGCCTCCTGGAGCTTGTATAAAAGAAGCAAAATGAGCGCGAAAGCACGCGGTTAAAACAAGAAAACCTTTCAGAAAGTATTCATTATTATCTTCCGCAAAACTGGCATGACAAAACTAAGTCGGCACCGAAAAAATGTTCTGACAACAGTACTTATAATTGGGTTTCTCATGAAACAAGCGAGCGCATGTGGGATTATATGAGGAACAGTGCTCCGGATATAGAAACCGCCGACAAAACAAGCGCATGATTTATTCGAGATTCTGATAATTCCCTCTTTGTAGTTCGCCAGTAGCCACTTATGATGTAGCGCAGCACAAAGCGCTGCTTGAATTAAAAGCCTGGTGGATCCGTGCAAATTCTGACTGTACTACACGTTTTCTTTTTTTCTGTTTTTTTTTTGTCGGCAGGCTCTTGAAACAGTGAATGTCTCGACGCAATTTCGGCGTGTCTGCACATTTTCTCGTGCACCATTGCGCTCAACAGGTGTGCACTGATAAAGGCTTTTAAACACATTAAACGCGCTAAAAATTTGCAAATGCACGCTTTCGCGGGCTACTCGCGCGTGCTCAAAATGCAAACGCTTCGGAGATCTTCAGTACCATGTGACTCCAGCGCTGCCACTACTGTCACCCGCCGGTGAATCAGCCGAGATACCGCGCGGCCGCCTCGTTCAATCTACAGTCCTCTTCTAGTACACTGTAACGTAATGGCTAGCGAGCGTGCGCGTTGCCCGACTCTCAGACCGCTCGCTCGTTTATAAAAATATTCGATTGTAAACTATCGCACCGACCAAATTCGCTCAAATTTGGCCAGATTGCCTGTGAACGTACAATAACAACCCACACAACACAGATTATGGTTGAAAACTGGGTGTAACGACCCCTCTAAAAGCCAACTTATACGACGGGTCCCACATGCGTACCGCAAAGCGTTTTGTCGCTAGATAGCACGTCCATGACTTTGGCCACGCAATCCTGTGGTGTGCACACTTATGCTCACGCCTGTATATACTGTAATCAAGACAATACAAGAAAAGCTGACAATATATACTTTTGAGGCTAAGGCTACCTAATTCCTAGGTTCTGTGTGCGTCAGCACTCCGTTTGTTCACCTCAGCGAAAAAAACCCTCCCATTTTCTCATTGTCAGCATCGGTGATTTGCTCGTTGGCGGAACACGTCATCTTTTATGAATCATTGATTTAACCTTGCAGCGTTATCAGAGTTGCTTGCATAAGCTACCGAATCATTTTGACTACTGGTGTCCTGCGGCTAATATTAGCAAAGCAATATGAAAGAAGCATGAATCTTCTGAATTATAAGGAAGTGACCTGCGCGCCCCGCCATGGTGGTCTAGTGGCTAAGGTACTCGGCTGCTGGTCCGCAGGTCGCGGGATCCAATCCCGGCTTTGGCGGCTGCATTTTTGATGGAGGCCGAAATGTTGTAGGCCCATTTGCTCATATTCGGGTGCACTTTAAAGAATCCCAGGTGGTCTAAATTTCCGGAGCCCTCCACTGCAGCGTCTTTCATAATCGAATGGTGGTTTTGGGACGTTAATTTCCAAAAACAAATCATTCAGGAAGTGATCTACGCAAAATAGTGTCACAGTATTTCTGTGAAACCTATTCGCGTCAAAATAAGCAAATAACCGCCAGATTCGTGCGGAAGCCACAGCACAGGAACAGGGAAAGCTGGAAGAGCGCTCTTTGTAGACCCTTCTTCAAACCCTCTTTGAGTAACTCCCACTAGCACACTTGATGGGTACCAATTACATAAAATTCTTGGTCGGGCTCTGTCAGGCGCCCATCGGGATCCGTTCACCGTGTTTTTTCATGGAAATAGTTGGGGGGGCGCACGCACCTAGCAACCGATGCACCCCCCTCCCCTCCTTGACTTCAACGTGACTTACCACCAGCTCATTACAGTGCGTTCGGAACGCGTTCGTAGCGTTTGTGCTGGCAGCGTTTGTGTAGAATTCGCGTTGATAAGACGCTGACATTATGGCCGTCAGGTACAATGACAGGTGCTGTGCTTCGCCGCTCCTTCTCTCAACGTTCGCTCTCTCTCCTCCCTACACCCCACTCTCCCGTCCGATGCAGTGAAGCACGCGCCTCACTCTCGAGCGTTCGCTGGCTGGGCGCCTCTCAAGGCGATGGCAGAAGTCGGTGCCGTGTAATCTAGGCGCAAAAAATGCATTCGCATTTCCTCATGATTCCCTTCGGAGAGATGGGGGGCATTTTTCGATTGGTTGCTTGGTTTCTCAACAACTCGGCGCAACCTACTTTCGGGGATGGTTATGAATAGGATGGTGCCTTGATTAATAAACTGTTTGACTTAGTAAGAAAAATCGTTCAAAATAAATTGACTAGAGCTTACGTGTAATATATAAAAGCTGAAACTTTTAAAAAAATACTTGAGAAAATTTACATCAAAAACACACAAATAAATACGCCTGTGCCTTCAAAAACTCAGTTTGGCTGCACTTAGCATTCAGTTCTTTTAGACACTCATAAACAATTTACCATAGCGTTAAAAATGCTCCCGTGTCTAAAATAAAATTTGATTGCATCAAATAAAAGAATCATTGGAAGTGGCAAGCTCCATCTTACATTTGTAGGGGTTCTCGGAGTAGTTTTTTTGTATTTAAAACCATCAGCCCATCTTAAAAAAAGAAATTTTTAAAATATTTTGGCAATTTTTATGCTGTGGCTGAGGACACTGAAGACTTTGCGATGTGCTGGGGCATTCGACGAACTGATTGGTATGAAATTCGCATTCTTTGACGGCTATTGCTCTCTTTGTTGTTCCAAAACACTATATTTTTATTCTGGAGGGTGTGGAATGCGGTTCTTGCGTTACAAGTTGTTATCACGAGGGTGTGACATTATGCTTACCGTTTCTATCACGTGCTTGATATGTGCGTAGAAAGTGACTACAGTGAAAAATGAAGTTGCTTGAAGTTTGCGCTCGCGTCCGTGTCTTCTGTGTCTATCTGCAGTTTGTGCGTAATCATCTTTTCCTTCCAAGTATCAAGCAAATTACCCAGCAGCAAGGTTTATTGAGCATTGCCTGTTTTCTCTCCATAGCATACCATTTCAATAAACACGCTATTGAATAAGAAATAGAAATTAAGGTAAAAGTATTTTCATTCACCCAAGAAAAGCAGCTCTCATTTTGACACGCCAACGTCATCAAAAAGCGTGAACACTGTCATAAATGGTTAACAGGTAAGTTTGATGCTTCTTGGGGCATGTTGCTCAGTTTAACGATTCGGAAGTGGTAATATCTTCGTTCTAACCCCCTTCCCCTTTGCAAGGCGTCTTGTTGTTGTAGTCCACCTTCCCGTATATGTGCCGCAGTCGATGAATAATTAATGAACTGTTTTTCTTAAGGAACATTCACATGTATGGTCAGCACGGTGTGTCGGAAACTTGAATTGGAAGTTAGTGGTCTTATTGTGGGAATGAGAGAAAAAGCACGTCTTACCGTTGCGTAATCTGGTAAAATAAGAGAGCCACGAGGAAGAGCTGGAAATCCGCCGATATGTACCACAAGTGGGCGTTCAAACCCTGCAAGGAGCATAACAGTGACGTTCATTCTGCATCACACGTGAAACGCAATTTTCCCCTCCGCTCAACTACTGAATAGAAGTCTAGCTTATGTTATTCTATCCTTTGAAGTTTTCGATAACGGCCGGTAGCGTGGCTCATTCATTTTCACAGCTGTAGTGCATGGAAGCTGAGGTGCACCAGGAAAAAAAGCACGTATGCAATGCCTAATCTTGGGTAATTAAAATATACACGCTTGCCCGATGACATTTAACGTGATGTTTATTGCACAACTGAAATCTTCATAAGGAGTAAAAAAATGCGCGTAATGTTGACCATAAACAATGCTCTGAAGTGTCTATGCAGGTGCTACTGAACAAAGGCAGTTGACGCATTGGCGATTCCGCCTAACATACTCCCCTGTAAAGCTGTGTCTACTAAGTGTACATGCACGGCTTAGAAACAATTATCACAATTTCAAGTTGGTCATCTGGTAGATGATTCCCGCATTTATACGTAACAACACAGCTAGTACACCTTCTCTCTTAACTTCATATGTTGAGAGATGGCTATTAGTTTTTTTCACCATTGCGGCACATATATGTTGGTGTCTACAGTTCGCTCGATGGCGTTCGTTGAGTATATTGCAGCATAACTATTCTGAATTGGGGACCGCAAGCTGCAATTTTGAAGTCGAAAATGAAGGACTGAGAAATCCGAGTAACAAAAACAAACAAAAAAGGAAGACATCCAAAATTGCATGACCAAAATAACAAATAGATTCGTTATTTTTTACACTCGTGGCTCTTCAGGTGCACATACACGCTCGAGTTGACGGCTGTCTACTTACGTAGGTTACCTCACGGTACAGGTTGCGTACGTTCAGCACGACGGTCCACCAATGATTTTTCACGTCATCGTAGAACTTGTCGTACACCATGTTAGTTGTTGGCCCTGAGACGAACAATGGCAGCAGGGAGAACGCACAGGCTGCGAGAACGACTGGCAAGAGGAGCCTGCAGTCGTCGAGTGTGGCGAGAAAGACAGCAGCATCGGAATAAGGATGTCATGTCAAGGCCACGTGTATCGCTATTGCAAAAGCTTACGTGCGTATATAGACAGTCATAGCTACCGTTAGCCTGATAGCAGAGGTTAAGGAAACGGTGTTACCACGCTGCAAACGTTCGTTGTGGACAGCGTCTTATATTTTAGCGGTATAGCATTTACATGGTTTACGTGCCTCAGGTGGGATGGTGGCGCCACTTATTGGATCGTTAATAAGTCCACGAACAGTGAAAAGAAAAACAAAACGAGATTGCTTGCCTATGCCACCACGCAAAGCATTGTCACAAGTTATTTTGGTAATAATAAAAGCAAATAAATATGAACCACGCACCAATTGCGAAAACATTTTTGTTACCGATTCGTTTCCATCGATCTTGCAGTAAGGCCTAAATGCGTTTGAAACGGGAAGCTATCTCAAAAACTACGCCAACTTATTTGTATACTCGTTCAGCGAAGCTAACTGAAGGCAAGCGAAGTAACTTTAAACAGTAGTTTGCTGCAAACGAAGTGAATCTTTCAACAACTACGCCAAAATCACTCAGTAGCGGGCGTCCGAGAGTTGCGCTATGTTGTACGTACACCACGTACATCTACGCTACTACGTTAACGTCACATCGGAAAAACAGCATGCGTACGTTAACGGGTAACGTACGTATCTGCACATGCGCACTTCAATCCCGCTGTCCCGATACGCCCGGTACCCCGGTAAGCTTGGTATGCTATAACTGTCTTATATCTTCAGCTTACGCGCTTTGCGGTTCACGGCGCAGCCTGCTCCACTCCCGCCAAAGTTTGCTCTCTTCCTCTCTACCCTCTCAATACCGCTGCCCATAAAGTATGAAAATCTCACGCTCAACTCCTTACTCTTAACAAATTAAGTCAGTAAACAATTGCTACGTGGATGCGTTTTCTACTTTCAAGCGTATTTTACTACCTCTTCTAGTCTGAAGCTTTTAAAGCATTTAAATTTAGCTTTCACTAAACAGGGAGCTTCTTTAAGCTATTTAACTACGGAGCTGCTAAGATGCGTATACTGCAGATGCTTTGTTGATGCTGTAGTATACTATATTCCTAATTTGAGCCTTAAGCAAAATTTGCGCAATTATTTTTTTTACTTAGACTCATACCCACAGCAATACTGTGGCATTGCAGTAGGGAGGGTGGGGCTACACAAAGAACTTATACGTTATACATTTCAAGAACACTGGCAGAGAAAAAAGTACTGAATTAAAACCAACATTATCATGTAGAAATAGCGGCATACAATGTTGTCAATGCACATGAATTACTAAAGCTCATCTAACCTAGAAAAAGAGAGAAAAAACAAAAATAAAATTGCACTGTACACAGTAAACCGATTCTGACCCTTAAGGGTGCAAAAAGGGTGCCGACACCCTAAGCACACCCTTTGAGCACCCTATTCGCGTCTCAGCACCCTACAAGCGGAACCTAAAGGGTGAACACATCAAAAGGGTGGAAACTAGGGTGCAAAAAGGGTGCAACAACTAATGGGTGCTGATGAGCACCCATTAGGGTGCACAGTCGCCGACAAAGCTTTGTGAGTAACGTGGTCATAGAGCATAACCAACAGCTTTTAGATGTCTAGTGGTTAGGCACCATGGTCTCATTAATAGCCCCACCGCAGTAACTGATATCTGAATAGCGATAGTGCCCGGCTGAACGTAAGTTCTGCACTGGTTCTTGCATTCTTGCTGCCTCTTTCTCGTCGCCTCACGGCCGGCACTGACCAAGCCATGCGCTACAAGCTCACTAGCCAATGGCGGAGTACGCAGCTTGTAGAGCTACAACAGGATTGTGACTTAACATAGCCTCGTTTGCGCCTAACACTGAAAACAAAGCTTCGTCCATGACAGTATATATAAATCATACATTTGTTGATGCAAAGAAATACAAACCAACAAGACCGTGGTAGATAAAACAGTTTTTGTGTTGTACAAATATTTGTTAACCTTACAACGTATCAGTTGACACGTGTTACCAATTTTTATGGCGGGCTATGGACTCTGACGTTCTAATATTATAACATTAAAGAAACATTTTCTTGATTTTGTTCATAGAAATATTCTTCAAAGCAAGTTAAAATGAGCCTTGACTAAAACATTTTCCTAAAGAATATTCACTAAAGACAGCTAAAGTATTGTTTGCCAACTAATACGCTTATTTTGATGTGACAAATTTTGCTTGCTGCCTGTACTTTGTACTAATATACAACCGCTTTGACACTGTTTTTAACAGCCAGCTTAACCACTCAACCAATGTACAGATGTTAACAAGGTATCGGTATAAGAAATACACAAGCAAGCAAACGTTTCAAATTTCGCGCGCTCTTTCACATTTCAAATTTCGCGCAAATACGCGTAAAGTGATTTTGTCATTTTCAAAGGTAAAAAATATTCTATGCAATACGCACTAGCGCATCTTCTATCTTCACTATTTTTTACTTAAAATTTAAGCAGAAATAATTTATTTACTTATCATATAAAAAGTTATGTGCGCAAATGCGGATCGGTGGCGTCAGCAGGACAGAAATGGCGGTATCTTCCTGGAGGCCGCAACGGCCGTGTGCCGAGCGTTTAAAGTCGATTTTTTATGTTGTTCAAAGTGTGCTTGCGCTGTCTTTCGTGTTCTGTCGGTGCTGCTTGTTACGAAGATGCACTATACTCAAGAGAGGACCGGCTGCTTTGTACCGTCGAGCGCTCGCCAAACTAAAAAGGTAGGTGGATGTTTCTGCTGTCGACGCTTTGTTTTTTGCTTCTCCGGACAGGCCGCGGCGTGCCCGATCCAGGCTGTTATGCTCCTCCCGCGGTTAACACCGAAAGCGCTATAGTATAATAACGTTGTGAACTAAGGTTTTTCTAGCTGGTAGACGATAAGTGAGTTTTTATTAACGTAGCGAGCCTGCTGGCGTGTCTGATTTCATTAGGCTCAAGTCTAAGCTCAGGGACGTTACGCGCGGATGAATTTTTTCTGTGGGGAAGGAGGTTAAAGCAATGTGCGCTGTGATGCTGTGAGTCGGCGGGCGATGCTCTTCACGCTATGAATCACTATATTTTTGCAATGCCGTCGGACGCCGTTCGGGGATGGCGCATGGAAGCCGTAAGCGTCGTCTGTGTGTCGAGTGCGTTGGAGTATTCCGGTGATTCGCGTTGAATTAGATCTTTCCGTATTTAATTTAGAAGAATGGAGAATAACGTGGTGTCCGCGTTGGTATTTACGCGGCCTTGTTCGTTTTCTGTGCCCAAGAAGTATACGAAGAAAGTTTTATATGTTACGCGTCCTCTTTTCAACAGCTACATGATCATTAAATGTGTGTGACTACTATAAGGTAGATGTGTTTTCCTGTGTGACCAAATGTGTTTGCATCCACCGGGCACGTATAATATTAAATTACCATGATATTAAGCCTAATTAAGTGTGCGTAAACTTGACATAGCGGGCTGTAGGTGCGGTTCTCAAAGCGTGCAATTACGCCTGGGTCAATACATTTTCTCTATGAGTGGCCGAATAGCCGTACCTTAGCTGTGCAAATGCTAGGTTGAGCAGTAGTTCACTCGTTCGAGTGCAATTTTGGTGGTACTGCTTGTTCCCCCCTGCTCACATAGCATTGCATTCTTCTAGTTTGTAAAAGAATTGTGGGCGCTGCAGCCCGCTTTAGAGTTAAAACTTTGCCGAATACTTATACGTCTACAAACATTCTAAAACTAAGTTATACCAAAGCTTCCAATGACACTTTCGAATACAAGTGTAATGCTTTATCTGATATCATAAATTCTTTATGACCTCGCTGCAGATTTACAAGTGACCTGTGATATGCGCAGTGTATGAATGCCTAATTTATTGCTCAAAACACAATAAGGTTATACATCACAGTATGCGTGCATATGTTGCTGCTGACATGCAAACTTAGACATTGTATTTATCTAAGAATGAACAAATCTAAACTGCCGTTTTTTGAAGATGTACGCATCAGACCAATTGAATAATACCAAAAATAATGTTCACCAAGTGATTGTTGTTTATTGCCTTGCACCGACGTCACTAAAACCGCCGTTTTTTGAAAATGTACGCATCAGACCAATTGAATGATATCAAAAATAATGTTCACAAAGTGATTGTTGTTTATTGCCTTGCACCGACGTCACTAAAACCGCCTTGTTGGTACTTAGACCACACGGTAGGATGCAAGATTCATGACGTCATATTGAATGTTAATGTCACATGATATGCAAGGTAAATTGTTATTAGCATACAGAGGCCCATAACGTTATTGTCTCATCGTTATCATAATGAAGCAGGTTAGGCAATATGTGATTCCGCTGCCTTTACGTCATGTTGGGAAACCATTACGTTATGTAGCTATCTGCAGTGTCCTGAGATCCTGGTTGCCGGTCAATATTGCAGAAGCTTGCCTGCTTCATTGTGATGGCATGGGGTTCAAGATTGATGTTTGTCTTAGCGTTTCCACTTTTCCTCCCCTATCGTCATTAGACAGCTTGAGCTGTTTGATTAGAAGTGAGGAGTAGTGCTTTTTTAGCCAACCAGAACAATTTAGATCAATGATCACTATGAAGCAACACACAATATTCAATTAGTGAACTCAATTTCAGGCAAATTATGAACGTCCGAATGTTAGCCGTTTGAAGGAAGCTTTATTCGTTGAACTCATGAGAATAAATGGTAGAGAAGGAAAGGCAGGGAGGTTAGCCAGACCAGCAAAGACGGTCTATCACCCTACACGGGGGAACAGGGAGATTGAAGTCCTGTCGGAGTGGTCTGGTCGCTAAGGTACTCGTTTTATAACCCGAAGGTCGCAGGATGATATTCCGGCCTTGCTGGCTGCTTTTTCGATAAAGGTGAAAATGCTGTAGGCTTGTGTTCTCAGATTTGTGTGCACGTTAAAGAACCCCAGGTGGTCGAAATTTCTGGAGCC